AGCGCCATTGTCACCCTTTTCTAAGCCACGAAAGCGGCACATCTATGATACTCGTGGGCTACTTTACCCACCCACTGAATAGATACTTCGACACGACTTGTGGGGGGGGGGGTGTTGCTTTATCGTCTGATCTACAGTCGTAGAGGTTAATTTCACAGTAGATTATTGATGCAAAAAAATTGGCTCTGTTAGAATTGCCAAAAATTTCCCAAAAATTCACTTTTGCACCCGAAAAAATTCATGTTGTTCAGGTACGCGCCCATACATGGCGCCAGAAGTGTACGCTTGCGCGTTGGGCTTTATTGACGGCTATGATTCAAAAGTGGACTGGTGGTCATTGGGTGTGACATTCTACGAGATGATGAGAGGTCGAACTCCGTACGAGTTCAGCCAGCATGCCACCGCTGAGCAGGTAATCCTTCTCACTATCAGCTACGATCTAACCTCTGCAAACGCATTGCTCAGGTTTTGCTGCTGATACGCGAAAGCTACGTTCCTTTTCCTGCCCACTGGCCGACTGATCTGCTCAGTTTCCTGCGTCTTCTGCTGTATCCAGCACCGGAACGCCGTATCGACTCGTTGGCCACACTCAAACGGCATCCGTACGTGGCTCGGATCGACTTCTCTGCTGTTCTCGCCAAGTATGTCATTAGATCCTTATTAGTATGTGCATTTATTGGCCAACAAATACGGCGCTTTGCAGACGTGCTGCCCCGGTGTTCGTGCCTTGCAAAGAGGGTTTCAATTGTGATCCCATGTATGAGCTTGAGGAGAGAATATTGTCTCCACTCCAATCCATCGACGACGGCAAAATAAGAGACGATGCGAAGACGAGTCCGATGCGCTCAGGGAGATATCACAGGTGGGTAGCGCTGGCTTTACCAGATAAAGTGCTGGTAAGGTCAGATTAGATTCATTTCAATTTTCCACCAAAAATACCAGCAAAAAACCGTTACCACAACACCACAATCCATCCAACTTACAAAAATACGGCCACACGGCCCCCTTTTTCCAACTTCTTGGTCCTCCCTTAAGAAGACCCCTCCCTTCCGAAAACACTCAAACGCGGTCCAACTCGTTGGAAACTGCGCAACGCAAGGTTGATCTTGGATCCGGGTGAGCCAACGTCGAGGAATACTCAATGGGGAGTCCTATTTCGCTCCATTGGTGGGTGGAGATGTATTGGGTGGAATTGGCAGTGCCAGAAATAGGGACACTTGCACTGTGTTCTTGTTAATAAGGGTGTGATCATCAGAAAGATGATTGAATTTGTTGGAAGTCCCCAAAAACACATTTACCGCCCATTCCGCTGCCACGGATATTTTTTAGGTAAATCAGTGGAGTATAGTACATTTGTTGCGAGAATAAAGTCTGACAATTATTGAGCAGGACCCGAAACTGTCATGGATGTACATAGCGGCGCAGACTTAGAAAATTCTTCGTCAACATCCTTGAAACTAAAGGTAAGGTCTGTTAGTTAGACTCCACTAAAATTCATTGGTCATAGGGTCTCAATCAACTAATACGCTAAGCTGGTTTCTTGGAGGGTGAGTCAGGCAATTAATGAAGTCTGAGAGACCGGTCGATTCATCGGAGATTGGAATGATAAATTTAAATTCAGATGAGGATTATTTGGAGGAAGACTTTTTCGTTTCTACTGCAAATCTGAGGCGGGACGCGAAATGGGGTGGAGAACGGGCGGCTGTGTACTCCGAAGTGAAGATCTATCATCTATATGCTAATGATCACGTTGTAACCTCTTTCAAGCAAGATGCCATTCAGGCCCCGAGAAAAAGATGGTCTCATTCTTCGGTCATTCCGTGCCAGTGTAGTACAAGTTGCTAAAAGCTCCAGCATAGGAACCGTCATGGATCGATCCTTCCGCTACGCAGCGCGTTTCCTAGCTTTAGAATTGAGGACTTTGAATGCACTAGGTCTACAAAACGCTGCGGGGCCATCTCGAGGTGATTAGCGTGTCGGTCTACCTGGCTAGACACCGATTATTGCGGAAGGAGGTGACTGGCCTGGCTGGATCAGATCGTCGCGCAGAGAAATTGTCCCTTGCTGCTTCTGGGTATGTATTGTGTGTGGTAATTGTTATTACGGGTAGCAGGTCTCACCTAACACGAACATGACGATGGGTACGGTAGAAAAAACGATACCGCGCATGTATTTTGATGCTCCCCACAATATGGCACCTTATGGTATAAGTCTGAGAAAGAGCACATCTAGAAACGGTGGACATCTTGTGTATGATATCTGTCCTTGCTACACAGTGTACGGTCAGGAATGGAACTGGTTCTACTTTCTAGGTAAATTTGGAACCAGTCTTCAGAAAATCGATGATATTGTTGGGGCCTGGATGTGATTTGATCCCCGGACCGCACATGCGTAGCAGCGCAACTTACCGGTGCTCCACTTTTTGCAAATTTTTGCAAATAAGGTTTCATTTACGAACAACTTGCAGGCATTCGTCGAGTATTCTCGTGTCGATGCGCTCGCCAACGGCGTGCCGTCATGTCGGTAGCAAACGGATGCGTATTCACTTCATGTTATTGCGACACAGAGATCTATTCCGAACATTTACACAAAAAGCTCAAAAACGTACATTTCATCCTGGCGATTCGATCCTCAACTGTATATCATCTTTTGGTGCTGATTTTATATTGTCTTTAGCTTAGCTCTTTTTCGTGATGTTCATGTGTATTGGTTGAGGACGAAAGCGCCAACATTGTATTCTTACTGTATGACTGTTATCACCAGCCAGATGAAGTGGTCCTAGTTTTCCGCGAGAAGCCTCACTATCGGTGGAGTGAAAATATTGGTGAGAAAATCCTTCAAATATTGTACCACAATTCCCTCTCTCAATTTTCCTGCGCCAACGTTTGACCTTGCAGAGGTGGATATCGAGTTGACAGCCATTGAGGAAGACACCTTTGTCTGACTTCTCGCAGAGTCGGCAGTTTCCTTCCGGACTACGAATCCCGAAATTTTAAGGCAGTGACTGGGAGGAGGGGTCAATTAGGGTCGTCATTGGAAGATCTTGGGAGACGATCTGAGCACCCCTAGCGCCTTCATTGCAGTAGCTGGGAGACGAAGTTTATTCAGAAACGTCATCTGCGGAGGAACGATGGGAGGAGGATAAGAGCACTAGGAGATCTGATCGAATCGCCTAAAAACCCCCATTCCACCAGTGGCCTTCTCGGATTGACTCCATCCCCAGCCATCGCACTCACACTCAGAGGAGGATTCCACAAGGTCGTAAGTAGAAGAAAAGGAAATATCTCCAGTGGAAAGGCAGGCACCCTCTCCTCCTAAAGATGCCGGACGATGCGCGTTTCGCAGCGAACGGTATGCTCCAACGGCCTGGTAGGGCCACACCCGCGCCGCTCACACCAGCGCCCGCCCACCTCTCAACGTCTGACTCTGGCCGTTTAGTAGAGAGAGAGCGTTAGCATTGAAGAGGGCAGCACCTCGAGGGACGCATCACTGCGCGAAGAAAGGGACGGGTCACATTCCTCGGGTTCTTCGCAGTTTCTCATCTTTCTTTCTTCTCCCTTTCAGTACTTACCACTTACACCTTAATTCTAACGGCTGTCATTTCATCTATAGTCCACCTTTAAATGTCATCACACCTATTTTGATTTGGTTAAAGGGTGGAGTATCTGAAGGAGTGCGATGGGAAGATGGAAGAGCTTTTGGTCCGCTGCAGTTCACGCAAAGAACACGCTCTGATTAGGCACAAAACGCACCCTGTGACTAGGCATCCTTGAGCTAAATTCAATAGGAATTGATGAATTTCTTCCCTCTTGTTCACCACGTCCACCTCACAGTATGGCTATGACCGTTCACTCTCGCTGGCGAGATAGTTCGTTTCTTTGATGTCTACCTTGCAG